AGGTGTACCTGACAGACTCTGTACCACATACGAGTGCCTTGCTCATTGAGGGCAGTGCCGCATGAGCACGGGTTTTAAAGCCCAAGAAATTCAGACATCTGGCTTCTTTGCTCACTATGGTGCCATCTCAAGCAATTGGCTTCATCACTCTGAGCCCGTTTCCTCCTCTGTAAAAAGAGAGAACTGAGAACCCTCTGAATTCTCCCTCCTCTTGGTTATGTCAACTTGGCCGCTCCTTTCTGTCTCTGAGCTTCACTTTCCTCTCCTGCAAAATGGGAATTGTGTTAATGACCATGCTGCCAGATTGTGATGAGGATCACTCAAAGGGTGCAGCCTGGTGCCTGCTATGTGGTTGGCAGTTCGTAACCAGCAGCTGAAAAATAATGCTTTCATGGGTGAAGACCCGCTTGGTTTGGAAATCTAAGGTTTTATAAGCAAGTTTGGCAGAAAAGCAGAGCCTTCCTGTAACAATTTTTAAAACCAAGCTTTCTGGTTTCATTCCAACCTGGATACTCAGCTCTTGAGTTGTGGGGAGGAGGCTGGGCAAACACCCTGGAAGACAGGATCATTTCAGCCAGGTGTCCGCAGTGGGCACATGCCCTCCTGCCCCGCCCCTCCCCCACCGGCTCAACGTGTGCTATTTTTACAAGGTGCACCTGACCGCGTGCTATTGCATGGGGCAGGGCCTGCTGGGGCATGCCCCGAGGGAGCAACACCAGGAAGCCCAGCCGGGACACTTCCACTACCCACTGCCCTGGGAGGCTCTGCTGACACTGCATAATCGAGAAAGGCAGCCCCACCCAGGGGCCCCTGCAACCCATGTGCGGGCAGGTACTGGTGCCAAAGGAGGGTGGCAGAGTCCGTGCAATTCTGGATACGGTTGGTGGGAAGGTGTGCTGTGTGTGGTGGGGTGGGGGGAAGTCAAGTCCAGGAGCGGCTATGACTGGAGGCTGCTGCCAGGTCTAAGGATGCCCCCACCCCCCACCCTGTCCCCCACGTCCTGTGGAACCCTTTAGTGTCTGCAGGGACTGGCTCTGAGACCCCACTCCAGCGCCCTCCTCTCCTGGAAACTAGGCAGAGTTGTCTTCTCTAACTTCGAGGGGACGCTGTGTACAGGACAAGGCTTGGAGACGGCCGACACCTGGGTTCACGTCCCAACCCCCCCCCCCCTCAGCAGCTGAAGAGACTTAGGCAAGTGACTCCACCTCTCTGCGGCTTGGTGTCCCTCGTTCGAAAAACAGCCACAGTCCTGGGTCCCAGGCCCCTAACATATGCAGACAGAGGTTCCACACTGTCCCAGCTGGCCCTGCTTGGGAGCTAGTGGGAGGGGTGAGATTTGGGGAGGCAGCAAAAATGGGGGCCCACAGCCCAGGAGATCAGCTTGGCTCACACGCAGCAAAGACAGGGGAGTATCTCTGATGTGCTTCCAGGGCCAGAAGAAGCAGGACCGAAAGACTCGTGAACTTGGAACCATAATTTACTCCTATGGTCTCATACGGGTTGCAGGGCTCAGTGGATTGTTGGCCTGGGAGGTGTACTTTAAGAGCCAGGTGATGCATGAAGTCCCTCCACCTCAACCCTCTCAGGGAGTTACAAGGTTTCTGTTTGCACACCTCCTGTGACAGGGATCTCCCCTTCCCCCAACGCCACCTGCACCACCTTTGCAGAGCAGCTTTGTCTTCCTTTTTGAGTGTGGTGCCCAGAGCCAAAGTGACTCAGAATGGTCTAATCAACAAGCAGTGGAGCAGCAAGCCCCTCCTTTGTCCTAAAGTCTATATTTCTATTAATGCATCCCTATTTTTTGTTTGTTTATTTCTCCCCCTACATATCACTATTGATCATAACCAGGGTTTAGTGCTACCATCAACCCAAACTCATTCCTTCACAACTCTTTCCTTCCTCTTCCTCCTTCCCTCTCTCTCTTCTTCCCTTTCTCCCTCCCTCCTTCTTTCCT